AGTTAATGTTTTGCTATACCGTATACGTAAGGTAAGCTTACACGTTGGCTGTGAATATGCTACTGTTGCTATCTTCCTCATCCTTTTATCGCCGTCATCATCATCATATAAACAGCAATGACAGCAGCAAAAATATCATCTTCAGCAGCAGCAACAACGACGACAGCGATATAAGCAACGATAGCACCATCATCATCAGAAAGTCAGGCAAGAATAAGTTTCGACCATTTTTGTCCTGAGATTTTCTCTCTCTCTCTCTCTCGCCCCTCCCCGTCCAGGTACAACGAGCCCGGAGTACGGGAGACCTCAGTAGACGGGGCTGGTGGAGGACCGCTTGGCATGAATACATCCGACCCATCGCCACAACGGCAGCCCTTTCCACAGCCGCTGTAATGGGAAAACGGGATCAGCCAATCAGCGGACAGGGAAGTGAAGGAAACAGACCTGTGGTTATCCTGGCTGCAAAAGAGCCTGCTCCCTAAAATTGAAGTGATGCTGTGCCGCATGAATGAGGAAAAAGCATGGATTAATTAAATTAAAGAAAATGCATTTGAGAAAGTTTACTACCGGGTTTGGTTTTTTGTGTGCTTTGATGTTGTTTGTCCACGTACCGGTATTTATTGTCATTATAGTTGTCCCCAGAATTATGCGTTACGTTCGTATCTTGTCATACAGGTAAGAACCATAATATCCAGTAAAGCCAACAATGGTCAAATTTCTTTGTTTTAAAAAATATTAGTGGTTATACTTATACGCCCTCATCAACACAATTTAGATAAAAATTAAAGAGGTGGGTGGGCTTTCGATCCTGCCCGTCAGGGTCAACCCGGGCTGAGAGGGATACAACATCCCAGCAGAAAGACCGAGATTCTTGAATACAATAATTACAATTCTCCCCACTCAGGAATCGATCTCGGGTCCCCTGCACGCGACAGTGAAGCGCCTAATCGCTACGCCCAAGACACCAAGGGCCCATGGGTGAACAAGGTGTCTGGATGATTATTTGTTTAAAGGAAAGATAAACACATCTCAATAATAAGGATAATTTCGTCATTGGTGCACGGACACCAGAGAAAGAGGCAACCTAAGTACAGTCCAGTCTATTTAAAACAGCCTGTTATTACAGGAACTTGGATATAACAGTGATAAATCACATTTCGTTTGTTTTGTTTTTTTCTCTAGAAGTGTAAGTAATATGAGCCTGGCTATAGCACACATGTTGTTCAATTTGCGCAGACTCTGATATAACAATGATCTTGCAGGGCATGAACTAGCTTTCAATCCGTCAAATTATTAACATGAATTGGTCTCAACCAAGACATTTCGCCTGTTTGTATGATCGTTTGCTAAACACAAACTTTCAAACACCCCCCCCCCTCCAGTATTGGGGTCACTAATCGATTCCGTTCAGTGTCACTAATGTCAACAAAACAGTCCACTGGAAAAGGATCTGCGTTAACGAATAGATCTAGATCTATAAAATACATGTAAATCTAGTAAGCTGAAGGTGCAATGGTACTGGTAGTTTCCCTTGATGATATCGGTTATAACAGGACTCGCTTATTATAACAGGGAAGAACTGTTGGTTCCTTCTGTCCTGTTATATTATATCCGAGTTTGACTGTTGAGGGCCTTGTTGAAGCATGGCGTCTAGATTATTATTTCTTAACTGTCAATTATCAATAGACTACATTCACACTTGCTTCAACACAATTAAGACCAATTAGGAGGCAGGCAATTCGTCAACCCCGTCTGAAAGGGCCTTTACTGTACACAACAACTGCCTTTGAGTTTGAGGGCTCGAAAAAAAGGAAAAGACAAGACAGACACCACAGAGGGAAAGAAAAGAATTACCTGTAAATTCTAGGTAAAATAGGGTCTACCATTGACACCCTCCAATCACCTGCAGAAAAAGGAAACAGTAACTACACTAGATCTAGAACTAGAATGGGAATAGGCTTACTTTTCAGCTTTCACATCACCATAGCTTCCCCGTCTCATTTCTGTAGCTTGTTTCTGACCACATAACGATAAATTGTACCAAAAAAAACCTGGACAATCTAGCTATCATACGATAAATCGTTAGGTGTAACCACAAAATTTTACAACCTGTCCCCGTCGTTTTATGCAAGAAAAATTCTGAAATTATGCAAACTGAGCCCAAAAATGTGAAATTATGCGATTTTGTTAATTTTTAGCAAAGAATGATAAAGGAAATTAATTAGAAGTTAAGCAAAATATGATCAAATTTTGCTAAATTATGCAGGATGCATAAAACCAAGGGGACAGTACAATGTACAAAAATTGGACAATTGGACGACGGCTTGAAGACTTGGTCGTGATATCAAGCGCTGTTTGATATTTCATTTTTCGTGCGATTACGTTCAGATTTGGGGGGAAACGCGCTGTGACGTAGAATCACGTTGAAATTGCCGCCGCGCAGGGTTAAACTTAAAAAATAATAATAATCATCCCATTTTAAAACTGACTTTATATTCGGAATCAGCGTCTAAAAAATAAGCATAGTAGCTCGACAGGGACCTGATTTGAAGTGAAATTATGTACATTTTAGAAATTTTATTATTTAACCCTATCTGTACGTCGTGTTTTACTATTGTATCCATACGAGGGGTACGCTGTGCCACCACTTTCCAAAGAGGAAATTTACTCGTTAATCCGATCCGTACGCTTTGCATAGTAGTCTGTCAAAATGATTTTTTGAGAAATACTGAAAGTTTCAAAGAGATCTTCGTAATAGAAGTATTCTAAACTGTGAACAATACAACCCCGGGGTACAAAATGACCCCAGGGCGTACGGATAGCGTAAATTGATTGACAATGGTGAAGTGCATCAAGGTCACTCGGTGCGTTGCACATCTGCAGTCAAGTAAAAACTTCTTTCTACACACAACACCGTACAGTATGGCCACCCTTTTCTAAAGACACTGTTCTGCTATATCAAAATGTACAGGGGAGGGGGTGGGGCTCTCGT